ACTATCGGCTTGGTCTTCAACACACAGAGACCGATAGGCACGATTGCGTGAGTGTCTCTCAATAATAATTGAAAGAGAACACGGCGATAGAATGCTCAGAAACGAGTAGTTACTCTATTGCATGTTTCATCGGCTTATGATGACGAACAGCATGAGCTCACAACTTGGTTGAATAAGGTTTGTACGTCAATAGCAATCGATACATGTACTCCCTAGTGTCTAATGATAAGAAAACACAATCGTCTTTTTTTTTCATTATTATCATCCAACGCAAATACTAGATGTCTATAAATGTATATATATATATGTGCCTTGTCGTCCAGAATAATGAAATTAGTTAGACAGGCTACTATTTCGTTATTGTCGCATGTCTATCACTATATAGAATCATATATGTGTATATATATACATTGATATAAATACGCGATTTGTTTGTTTCTTTTGGTTAGCATCGAAATTAAATAATGTCTGATATTAATTTTTTTGTTTTCATTTTATTTAGTAAATGATCATTCGGAGACAAGTTTAATCATAGTTTTATTAAATAAATAGAAATACATGCATGCATGTATTTCATCTTATCAAAATAAATCTACATGTATGTGTCCGTGTGTGTGTGTGTGTTCCAATCACGATTATGAAAGAAAGATCTTTATGTTTGCGCTTTTTTTTTATGTAACCATCGAATATAGGGAGTACTCTGTATAGATGGATGGATAGATGAATGGATAGATGGGATAGATGGATGTTCCTTATTTTCTTCGCTTCGTTCGTTCTCGATGACTTCGTCGAGTCTTACTCTCTTAAGTAATGATGATGGTTGTAACAGGAATAGAAGTATAGCATAGAGAAATAAGAAGCTCGTTTCTATAATCATTTTTTGATAATGCAATGTGATAATAGACGTAAGAGAGCGAAAGAGAAGAAAAGAAAAATGGAAAAGATGAATATAATATCATTATTCAAGTTCAAATCACACATCTATTAATAAAAATGGAAAAGATTTTTTTTTTGTATAATTGTCATTTTATCGAAATAATTAAATAAAATTGTAGTAAGCAAAAAAAAAAACGAGGTAAGTTGATGATGTATCAATAACTTAATGTTGATTGAGTTAAGATAAAAGATAAAAATTAATTCTCTTGAGAGAATCTTATTTCTTTTTGGTTGTTGTTGATGTTAGTAATTTTTTTTTTCTTCTTTCAAGATCTAAACAGTAAGACTATGCCTGATGATCATCATCAGCGGCAGCCAAAAGAACAGCAATATAGATGGAATTAGTCAGACAACTCGCTGGTCTTTCTGTTTCACATATAAGACAATTTCGTGATGATGATTCTTATGTTGACCGACTCAGTCATCGATATACAACAACTATATGTGTTGTTTTTGCTATTCTTGTCACGACAAAACAGTATGCTGGTAGGAAATATAAACAATACTTTGTTGTTATTATTATTATGAATTTATTTATTTTTTAGGGGATCCTATTGATTGTTGGGTAAATATTTATGGTCTATGTAAATTCAATTATTTATTGTTGATAATTGTTTTTAGGTACCAGCTCAATTTAAACCGTCTTATGAGGCATATACAGATAGTTATTGTTGGATTGCTAATACTTATTGTAAGAAATTCTATTGACATTTTTGTATTTCTTAAATAAAGAGAATTGAATTTCTATTAGATATTCCTATTGATCAAGAATTACCTGATGATGAAACGAGTCGACGAAATAAAGATATTGTAAATAATAGATAAGATTTAATTTTTAATGATATTAATTATTAGATTTTTGTTTTTTGTTTAGCTCTATTATCAATGGGTACCATTTATATTATTATTTCAAGCGTTTTTATTCTATTTTCCACGTGTTGTTTGGCGTACACTTAATGTTAGATCAGGTCTTGATTTAGTAAATCTTGTTGATGCAGCAATAGTAAGTTTTCTTAATTATTAAATTATTATTGTTTATTGAAAAATTTTATTTTTTAGAAATATGAACAAGTTGAACAGTATGAATCACGAGATCGTATAATGAGTTATTTAATTGTTAATATTGAACGTTATATATCTGCACGAGCACAATTAACACGACATCATATTGAAAAACGTTTTTCATGTATACGTCGATTTTTTCAATTATTTTTCTTTTGTTCAAATCGACATTATGGAAATTATCTTGTTATTGTCTATTTTCTCGTTAAATTAATGTGGCTTGTTAATGCATTAGCACAATTATTTTTATTAAATGCTTTTTTAGGCAATGAGTATTATTTGTTTGGTTTTGAAGTTCTTGAAAAATTATTTAAAAATCAACGTTGGACTGAAAATAGACATTTTCCTAAAGTGACTTATTGGTAAGTTTAGGCTACAACAATTAAAATGAATTTATTTATATCGCATTTTTTTTCTTCTTCTTTCTAGTGATTTTAAAATTCGAGAAATTGGTATTAATCATTTTTATACAGTGCAATGTGTATTAAGAATAAATTTATTCAATGAAGTTATTTTTATTATTCAATGGTTTTGGCTTATATCAATTAGTGCTGGTAGGATTGTTGAGAGAATTTTTTTTTTTTTTTAATCTAAATTTTATCTATTTTATTTAGCAACGATTTATGATTTTCTTGTTTGGTTATATCATTGTACTGTTCCACGTAAGTTTAAATTTTTTTAAAAGACTCTATAATCTCTTGGGACTTGTTGATGGAAAAATGACAAATGTAAATTGTGCAATTCCATTGGGAAAAAATGAACATTTTCTATATAGATAATATTCTTTTCCACTAAATAAATATTTGTTGTATAAATCTTGTATATTAAACTAATAATAAGAAAATTTTTTAAGATTTAATTGTTTTTGTTTAAGGTGAGAAAGTTCGTTTCATTAGACGTCATCTTGGCATAATGTCATCGTTTCATCCTCAAGAAGAACGTCAATTAGCACGCGACTTTGTGTTACATTATTTAAAAGATGATGGAGTCTTTGTTACACGTTTACTTTCAGTAAATAGTAGTGATCTTGTTGTAACAGAAATTATAAATCAATTATGGATACGTTTTAAAACAATAAATCGTCTTTATCAATCATCTCAAAGTCAACATCAAATATCACATGACAATAATATTAATACGAGTACACTAGGAGCAAATCTAAATTATCAAAATGGTAACACATCAACACATAATAATCAACGACCACGAATATCTCGCATTCCACCACCATTACCTTCATTTTTTCATCGAACAACACATCAACAATTAATTAATGACAAACCAGAAAATATTCATGACACTTCGAAATCATCAAAAGATACTGATGTTTAAAAAGAAAAAGGAAAATTGTTTTGTCTGTGATACTCGTATTATATATATATTATATATATATATGTATATATACATATATGTGTTTTTACTAATCTAAATTGGAAACTCAGGAAGCTCTTACATCATGATATACATATGCAACTTCCTTTGGTGCCAGTTATACTTTGTCTGTTTCTACTGTTTTGTTTTCTTTTTTTTTTTTTCGCATGTTTAATCTAGATGATATGTGCTGTCCGTTTTCCCGAACAAGTCAATAAAAAGAGAATGTCAATTTGATTTCTTTGTGGTTTTATTCATTCATAACTGAACACATATATATATATATTAAGAATGTCTCTGTGTATTTCTTAATATTTGAATAATTTTTAGTTTTCCGCTACAGAAAAAAAAAATCCGGAAGACTTGTTCTTTTTGTTTGCGTGAGAAAATCTTACTATTTAATGCTAATTGGCGGGTGTACAAATAGAGAAATAATTATTATATCATATAAAGAAAACTAGAATCTGATAAAAATAACAGGAAACATACTGACTGAGTAATGGCTATGCATGATAGTAAAAAGAAAACATTGGAATAATGTCAAGGGTAATTATCAAATGCCAGAATAATGAATATTATACAATCGTAGATAATTTTCAAAGGAATTATATTAGTTGATTGTTTGTTGTATCTATCTTATTAACATTAACAAATCTATATTGTATAACAACAACCAAAAAAAGAAAAAGAAAAACATTTGCAAGTTTATTTATAATAGAAAATTAATAAATACACAATGAATTTTTTATGAAATGAAGTGACTTTGTTCAAAGTACTTAGTCTATATTTCAAATTTAAATATCTAACATCGAACTATAAAAGCATTCTGTTAAAAATTGTATTAAATTAAAATTTTTCGAATATAAATTGATCCTGTTTAAAAGAAAAATATTTGATAAATAATTATGACTTTGAACTCAAATCTATATTAGTGTTTTGTCCAGTGTGAGAGCTAAGAGGGTAGCGCCTCTTCGAAAATCAAGTTGACACTCCTGAAGTCTGTAGTTATTTTACCGTGTACTGTATGTCTGTGCTCGCAAAGAAATAGGTATTCGACTTCTTGAAGTTTTAAATCGCTCGTTTGAAAAAGACAATCTGGATAAAATACTTTTCTATACTGTCATAAAACTGTTTTTTTTTGTTGTTTTATTGGCAATCATCTTTTCTTATGATGATATGACCTAAGCATATCGGTGTACTTGCCACATATGCATTGTTAATATCTTCGTGTTTATAGATTTTAGTTTATCTTTGTTTAGAAAAGATAACATTGCATAGAATAATGAAATATCTAAAGTTATAACTCACCGCAAACATTTTTACTAGTGACCATCTCATATTTTATTCTTTCGAGATACCATTTTAAAACATGGAGAAAAAAGGTTCTTAGGTACTCAGAGATATCAGCTTGAATTTTTCTCTTATTTCATCTGATATTCTTGTCTTGCCTAGATTTTCATGCAGGGACTCATATGCTTAGTGCATGTTTAGAAAAGAATCTTTTATCATAATATAGGTACTATCTCTTTTTGTTATTCATAATATATGATAAGACAATGAAAGTTTAACAAATAACAACAGATATAAATTGTATGTAACTGATTATATTTAAACTTATACGAACATCAATAATGTCGATTTTATCTCGTTATGGATATTCATCATGGAATCGAATAAATGCATTAAATTTATTATCAATACGCACTCAAACAACAGTTTCATCATGTAAAAAGACAAGAAATGAAATAATTCTCTTTTCTTTTTTAAATTGAAATTTTATTTTGTTTAAGTTATGAACCAAAATGGAATAATAAGACGAAACAAATCACCTATTTCATGTCGTACTGATATGAAAGATGCACGTCGTATTATTGTTAAACTTGGTACTGCATTAATAACACGTGAAAATGAAGATGGTCTAGCAATAGGACGTTTAGCATCAACCGTTGAGCAAGTATCACAGTTACAAAATGAAGGTCGACAAATGTTATTAGTTACTAGTGGAGCTGTTGCATTGGGTCGACAAGTTTTACGTAAAGAAGCTATGATGACAATGACGATGAGAAAATCACTTTCACCAAAAGATATTTTACAAAATAGTCGTGTAGCTATACAACGACAAGCATGTGCTGCTTTTGGACAAAAAGGTCTTATGTCATTTTATGAACGAATGTTTCAACAATATAATATTGGTGTTGCACAAGTTCTTGTTACAAAAAGTGATTTTTATAATGTTGATAGTAGAAAAAATTTACAATCTACACTTGATGAATTACTTAATTTAAATATAATACCTATTTTAAATACAAATGATGCTGTTGCACCATGTACAGATACAGATGCTGAAGTAACAGCAGCAAAAGATGAAATTGTTATTAATGATAATGATTCATTAGCAGCACGTTTAGCTGTTTTAATATCAGCTGATTTACTATTAATTATGAGTGATGTTAATGGTTTATATACAGGACCACCAGATTTGGAAGGTTCACGATTATTAAATACATTTTGTCCAAAACAAGATTCACAATTAATTACATTCGGTGCTCGATCAAAAGTTGGTACTGGAGGAATGGAATCAAAAGTAAGATTTTTTTTCCCTATTCTGTTTGATTATTCACCAAAAAAATATTGACATGATTCTGTTTTGTTTTTTAGGTTAAATGTGCGTCATGGGCACTTGATCATGATGTTGGTGTTGCTATAACAAATGGAAAAATAGATAAAGCTATTTTAAATATAATTGATGGAAAAAAAATTGGAACATTTTTTACAAAAATACCTAATCAATCATTACCAGTTGATGTTCAAGCAATAAAAGGTAACATATATATAAAGTGGGAATCAAAAGTTTAAGGCACGTTTAAACCACGTTGAATCTTTTAATATTTTATCGCTATAAAATAATTCTCAAAAGTTCTTTTATATAACATTCGATGCAGAATTAAATGGGCTACATTTTGATGAAAAGTATTTTTCGAAAACTATTAATTATTACTAATTAATGTTAAATTTATTAGTTAAGATTAATTATAACATTTTGTTAATTTAATATAGAAACGTTTTAGTCAAATTTTCAACTTTTAAACACATCATTAGAAAGAGCGTTGAAAACTGAACAAAATGATTTATAATTTGTGTTAAAATGATTTGTTTTAGTCGGATTGTAAGGAGTTTAGTAAATATTACTACCCCCCAGTACTATTATTTTACTATAACTCAACTCAACAACTCAGTGATAAAACTTGGAATATAGTATATTTTATACGACAGACTATAAGCTTTCGAATGAGACTTGCGCGACTTCCGTATGATTTACTGTTGAGTCGATACAACACTTTTAGTTTTCATGAGCAATTTCAATGGTATTTTGCAGCTGTTTTTTCTACATAGAGTGCTTCAGCAAATTAAAAGTGTTGTATCGACTCAACAGTAAATCATACGGAAGTCGCGCAAGTCTCATTCGAAAGCTTATAGTCTGCCGTATAAAATACACTATATTCCAAGTTTTGTCACTGAGTTGTTGAGTTGAGTTATAGTAAAATAATAGTACTGGGGGTAGTAATATTTACTAAACTCCTTACAATCTTACTAAAACAAATCATTTTAACACAAAAAATATATCATTTTGTTCAGTTTTCAACACTCTTTCTAATGATGTGTTTAAAAGTTGAAAATTTGACTAAAACGTTTCTATATTTATTAACAAAATGTTATAATTAATCGTAACTAATAAATTTAATATTAATTAGTAATAATTAATAGTTTTCAAAAAATACTTTTCATCAAAATGTAGCCTATTTAATTCTGCATCGAATGGTATATAAAAGAACTTTTAAGAATTATTTTATAGCGATAAAGTATTAAAAGATTCAACGTGCTTTAAACGTGCCTTAAACTTTTGATCATATGGACAAAAAAGATTTCTTTCATAAAAATATGAAAAAACTATCCTTCAGTAATCTAAGCATATGAGTCTTATAGCCCATTCTGAGAGCTATTGAAATCACTATTTGAATGTCATTATCGAGTGATCTTTCACAAAAAAAATTGAAAAACAAAAAGTGCCTTAAACTTTTGATTCTCACTTTACGTGATTTACGAACGTAGGCAGAAAGAAAAGAAATGCATCAAGCGCACATGTCTATAGAACCTTTTTTTGTCTTCCTTCCGATTTTTCTTTTAACTCGTATATCTATCTATTGTATCATATTTGGTCAGAGAGTAAATTCAAGTCAGAAGAAAACAAAAATTACTTCAATTGATTCGTTCATGAAATTCACACACAATCTCTCTTTGCGTGCCATTGTAACAATCCAAGACTAGCTAATCGATCTTATCTTCATAAAATATAATCAGTGACGATTTTTTATTTTAAATAGAACATATATTCATTGAAATATGCCGTACTTATGTGAAGAATACTCTAAATAGTTCATAATCAACTCAAACTTTTATTTTTAATTAGAAAAAAATATTCATAATAATTTTTTCTTAAAAATGCTGTCCACTTGGTCAACATTGTGAGCCATTTTTCGCCTTGATACATAACTTTTTTTAAACTTCTTTTTAATCATTTTGTAGAGGCGAAAACACTGTACAACATATGTGAAATTCAGCATGAGATCTTTTGAATTGATCGAATAGCACATGACATACTGAAGATAGTTGACACAATTTTTACTCAAAAAAATTGTCAATCTTAGACAGTATTTGAGAAATAACTCTCGATCAACATATTGAAATATAATTTGTAAATA